CAGATATTTTTGAAACGGTTGGATCAGAAGGTGTTATCTGAAATTACACTGTGTGTTTTTGTACTGTGATGGCCAAAACAAAAGGAGGCAATGGAGCTGAGGTGTTCAGACCGCAACCCACCATGGCAGTATGGGTGGCTCCCAGTCTCCACTAGCAGCCCTTTGCACAGGGCTCCTTCAGAAGGAGGGGTCCTTCCAGCAGCCTGCTTTCTCCCCATGGCTGGGGAGCTAGGAATTTTACGGCTTCATGCCTCTATGCTTTGCACTTGCTGTGACCACAGAATTGGTGCAGCACTTGGTGCAATGCCAGGTTTGCTGCCTGTGTGCTGCAGCTCTGCTCAGTATGGGGCTGAAGCATCCTGTGCTCTCTTCTCACCTGGTGAAGGTTGCCTGGTTGTAAAGGTTGGTCACCACTAGCCTGGAGCATGGAGTACCAGGCCGACACCAAGAAGGACTTCCTGGACACTTGGCTGGGTTTGACATTATGGGTCCCTTCCAACTTGAGATATTCTATGATTCTATGTTAGTTATTTGGTCTGTATTGGCAAATGCCGTAAATTTAATCTAGCTGTGAAATACTAAACCCAAGCTAGCCCAGGATTCAGTAGGCATCACCAGAGATGGTTCAGCTCTTCAGCATCTCCTGGGATGCCAGACTGTCTCTATCATCCACAGACATCCTAGGAAAGCTCCTCCAGCTCAAGCACCAGGGACGCACCTGACATTAGGTTGGATGAATCTGATCCTTTGTGCCTTATAACGGCATAACCAGAGCCAGTGACTTTGGAAAGGCATTAAAAGTGAGAAAGGCTCTGAAAGCATGCTGTATTGTCGTTATGGTAAATGCTTAACATCATTATGCTAAAGGAGTTGGAGTTTCTTTGAGTGCATCTGTCTTCGGATTCCTAACCTCAAAAACCAAAAAAGTGACCTGCTTTCAGGGACTGGCTGCTTGGTGTCACTGGAAAGCAGATTTCTTTTCAAGGGGATCCATATGGACATACAAATCTGCCATTGCTTTTGAAAACTGAATTAGTCTTTAGTTTGCTTTTACTTAAACTGAAAGCATTGCGTTAGCAACCAGGAGGACTGGATATTATTAGTAACCTTTTACAGGAAATGTGGTGTGTCATGGGTTGAGCGTTTATTTTTCTGGAAAATGCAGTGTACAGTGAAATGTGAAATGGGGGGGAATAAGTAAACATAAAGTGCTTAGACAGCAGTTCACTCTATTTGAACGCCCAACAATACACCTCTGAGGTTACCTGCTCATAAAGGAAGTAGGGAATGATATTTGGGGGTTATTTTTGGCTAAAAGCATGAGGTACAAATAGCTTTTTGTGCAAAATGTCAGCTGAATTTCTGGGAAGCAAACAACATTGCCTTAATAATCCATGGTAAATAACAACACTAAGAATGTTACCACCTATTATATACACCTACGGGTGTATCTGGATAAACTTACGTAACTGTAGTTTGACAAAATAAATATGGAAAAGTAAACAAAGGCATTTCAAACAAATTATTCTGTGAACAGCAGAATTAATGAAGCATGAGATGAAATTCAGCTTCACATAACAAGATCTGGATGCCTACATGGAGGTATTCATGTATGGAGAAGATGTCTGAACTAACACTACAGAGATCTAGGGCTTGACTCAGTTTTGTCAACTGCCACTGGGGATGCTGTAAAGTATCCATCCTGGCCTCCAACTAGAAATGGATTTCCCATAACAGTCTGTTGTGTTGGCCAGTTGCCTCAGGATGACTTGGACATGCTAGGGTCAGTTGGCACTGGATGACCAGATATTGACAGCTGCATGGAGCCCTAATGTGGTAACCTGTATTTGGTCAGGCTCCGTTGTCTACATGATGAACCTCTTTTGATTGAAATGCCCCATTAGACCCTCAAGCTTTGGTGTCTGAGTCTGGAGGCAGCTGCCATCCTTGAAGCATGATTCAGTTCCCTAAACGCCACCAGTCTGGTGCCTGCTGTGACACCCCATAGTGTCCTGGGTAGATAAAACCTGAAGCTTTAGGAGGACACAGATCTCCTGTAGGTCTGGTGCAGATGTCTCGGATAACCTCAAACAACAGTAGACACCTCTGTTAAGGTAACTAAATTGAACCTACAAAGTGCAGAAGATTTTTATTCTGGATTTCTTTATCCCTTCCCTTCCTCCAGCTCCCTCCCATGTCCCTAGGTTGCCACTGGGAAGGAGAGACATGTTATGGCTTGTTCCAGGCTTGTCCACTCTGGTGGCCTGGGCAGTGTCTCTTCTTTACCCACATGCTTATTTTCAGGATGCTTGTAGCAATATGGTTATCTCTGAGGCCTCATCCTCGAGTATTCACCTCGAATACTGTGTTCAGTTTTGGGCCCCTCACTACAAGAAAGATGTTGCATTGCTGGAGCATGTCCAGAGGAGAGCAACCAAGCTGGTGAGGGGTCTGGAGCACAAGTCATACGAGGAACGGCTGAGGGAACTGGGGTTGTTTAGTCTGGAGAAGAGGAGGCTGAGGGGAGACCTGATCGCCCTCTACAGCTACCTAAAAGGAGGCTGTAGGGAGGTGGGGGTCGGCCTCTTCTCCCTGGTAACAGATGATAGGACGAGGGGGAATGGTCTGAAGCTGCGCCAGGGCAGGTTTAGGTTAGATATTAGGAAAAACTTCTTCACTGAAAGGGTTGTCAGGCTCTGGAATGGGCTGCCCAGGGAGGTGGTAGAGTCCCCATCCTTGGAGGTATTTAAAAGAAGGATAGATGAGGTGCTTAGGGATATGGTTTAGTGGTGGGATGGCAGGGTTAGGTTAAAGTTGGACTCGATGATCTTAAAGGTCTTTTCCAACCAAAGCGATTCTATGATTCTATGATCCCTCTATCAAATTTTGTTGAAAACGGCTAAAGTGATTCTGCTGGTGACTCCTTCGCTGACGGGCTCCCGCCGGCTTGGCAGTATATCCAGTGCTCTGGTTTTCAACTGCCTATCAGACAGCATCATTCGCACCACCTCTGAGTGGGAGATATAACAAAAGATTGATTCATAACAGACGGCCGCGGTGATTAAGAGGAGACCCACACATGCTGTCAGTGACACTCCAGCACGATGGCCCAGCTACGAAACAATTAGCTTTAATCTCCCTTTACTTTAGAGCAGGGTAGTGCTCCGTGCAGCAATAGTTTATTCAGCAGTCCATAATGGACATGGGCATCTGCTGTGCTACCAACCGCTTTCATTTATAGTCACGGTGATTGCAAAGAGTACTTTACAAAACAGTACTGACAGGACACTTCAAATGTGGCATCACCAGAGTGATTAAGAGCAGGCTAGTTTTCAAAATTCCACCTCATGTATTCTGAATATTTGAAAGAAGAGGGAACAGGGCAGGGGGATGATAGCAAAAGCTTGGGGCTCTTTGGCAAGGCCCAGTACTGTTTATACTGTTTATTTTGGTCTGGTAGACTTCAACAATTTAAAATGCTATCAGAAAGACAGAAGGCAGGGGACTTACAAGTATTTCTGGTAGCATTAAGAGATCACAGAGGAAATATCTTCACGAGGTCCATTTTATTGCTCAAATGGCAGAAATGCTGCAGCACTGATCTCTCCCTTGCAGTGCCACAGAGCTGGCAGCCACCCACCATGTACAGGCAGCAGATGAGTTGGTACCAGGCAATTTGGTCCTCGTTTATTTTAGGTGAATACCTTTTAGCTGATATTGGTTTGATTCACCTTTGCTCCATTCCCGTCATGCCAAGCATCAACGTCCGGTGGAGCATCTTGCCCTTGTCGGACCAGCACAGAAGCTGTAAACCATTCCTTCTCAATCACAAGCAAGTGTGATGTCCCATACACAGCAGCTGGTGATCAGCCTGCAAGATGTATTACTGGGAATACCGTTCTAGAAGAAGAAACTGGTTTTATTTATTGAATATAATT